GTGAACTAATCCACAAGTAAAGAAGCATGACGAACTCAGGTCTAAGGACTATACTCTATAGTCGTAATGAGAAACTCTTATGACACTCATATAACAATCTTGCAGAGTTCTCATTAGCGGGTCAGCCCGATCATGTGTTCTCTAACACATATCCATGTGATTGACTTCAATACAACATATTGAATGACTCCATGAAACTAAGTCATCAATCACCTCACATACTAGTCATTCTCGGTTATTAATGCCCCATGTTAATAACCTTGACTAGGGACCTCAATAATTTATACCATCTTTCACTTATAAGGTTTCATGATCAAGTCACGTACTTGATGACTTATAATAATGATGTAAATTATTTTGGGACATTTATTTTAATTATCTAATAATAAAATAAACCGGAAACAATTTCATAAGTTTAAATACATAATCAAATGTATGTCAATATGAACATCATATCATAAACGTAAAATCTCCCACTAAAATCAAGATCACATCTTAATATACTTAATGACCACAACTGCAGCATGACTCTCATGCTTAGGCTATGGAAGAGGCTTGGTCAATGGATCAGCAACATTTGCATCCGTTGAGACTCTTCTACGGTACTTTTCNCTCTCGCTCATCATGTTTTGAAGGACACTGATTCTTGCTAAGAGTTATGCCATGAGATATTGGCAAGAAGCCCTTCTTGGAATCACGCATTTTGAATATATGCAAGACCTTATCGATATAAGTAGCTTTACATAATTCAACAGACTTAATCTATCTTTATAGATTCTTATTCCAAGAACATGTGTAGCCTTTCCCATGTATTATACTATGAGAACTTCCTGAATTTCTAGAACTCCTTCGAGCTGTATTTTACTCCCACTGTTCTTCTTGGAAAGAAATTCTCTTTCTAGAAAAACGTCACTACTATCAACAAACACTTTGTTCTCTGTGGGATTTTAAAAGTAAACACAGATTTTTCTAAAATGTATCCCCAAAAGGATAATGGAAGATCTACATGACTCATCATTGACCGAACTATATCTAATAAAGTTCGGTTTCTCCTTTAGATACACCATTCAATTGCGGTGTTCCCAAAAGAGTAAGTTGTGAAACAATTTCACAATTTCTCAGATGATCATTAAGCGCTTTGACTCGATCGGATCGAAGAGCTTTAATTTTCTTATCAAGTTTATTTTGTACTTTATCTTGAAAATCTTTGAAATTTTCAAAAGATTCAGATTTATGTTTCTAGATAAACATAACCATGAAGTACTGATAGTTTCCTTTAACATTTATACTCATTGGTCCACATACATCAGTATGTATAAGTTCCAACAAGTCTTTTATCTCTTTTACTATGTCCAGTAAGAAAGGCCTTAGTCATTTTACCCAATAATCAAGATTCACATTTCTCAAATGATTCATAATCAAATGAGCTCAAAAGTCCATCACCATGAAAGTTTTGATGTGCTTCTCATTTATGTGGTCCAAACGACAATGCTAAAGAAAAACTTGATTTGAGTCATAAGACTTGA